GTATTTAAACTTATTATTGTCTAGCCGCATAAAGAAACAGACATTAAATCCGCTGTGTAACTCCTTAAAAATGCTCTAAGGTCGACGTCCGGTATGCCTCGACATTAGACTAGAGACTACATCCCTATCTACTCTACTTAAGAACTAAGAGATAGAGTCGTTAACCTATTCTTTTATAGGCGGTAAGACGATAGATTGATTGCGAGTACCACTACCGCTCTATGCGTAGCAGTCCTATAGCACGAGGTAGCTAAGATATCTTCTAAAAGCCCTAGAGATACGCTTAAGAATAAGCGAAAGCTACTAGAATATAGAAAAACGTAGAAGAAAGGTGCCCTACATTTTTAGTGATAATGTAGCATAATTGCTATAATATAGAGAAAGGGGAATATAGGGTACACGGTTACTATTTAGTTTCATTATTGCCTAAGGCATTAACGGCTAGAAGTATATATACTTTCCCCCCCTTTTTTTTTCTTTTCTTCCCCTATTAAAATATAGTTTAAAAATATTAGTACTAATCTAGATTATATTAATACTCTAGTCTATTACCTACACGTACTCCTCTTCTAATAAAGGGCTTATGCGTTATAATCTAGTTATTCTTCTTCTATATAACTATCATAATAGGTTAGATCTAGCGTTAATATAGTTAGTAGTACCCCTTACGGTGTCGGACTAACTAATTTTCCGGCCTTACTAGTAACCTAAAAAAATAAGAATAAATAAAAAGGATAAACTAGGGATAAAAAACTTAATGAGAGTGAATGCTTTAGAAGGAAATCAAGAAGAGCTAATATAGACGCGTATACCGCTCGAAGCGCCTAATATTCTATTATTAGTTAATATAGCGAAGTATATATATACTCGTAGTCGTTAGCGGTAACGGAAAAGCTACGGTAAATAAATTAGATTACGGATAAAATGGTAACGAACGGTCAATAACGTCCAAAAAGTATAAAATGCGTAAATAGAACCTAAATATGCCATTTTTAGAATGTGTGTAACGCTACCACGGGCGTAGCTTTCTAATTCCTCTAAATCTCCGTCACGTGCACCACTCTAGGCTATAGTCCGCCCCACCTCTAGAAGAAATAGATATACCCTAACTGCCATCCTCTAGGTACTGTTTTTTTTTAATGAACATGTCTATAGTTGTTCACACGATACACCTTTGCATTCCTACATCCCTATCTCGCTAATGATAGAAATACCGCATATATTGGTGAATTACCTGGACGCTGCGCGAGTACGTGGTGCGAAACAAATACCAGGCAGAGATCACGAAATCGTCTTGACAAAATCACTTGAGACTTGATAGGATCACTTGATTACCGTGGGGTAGATACGTCTGGTTACGCAGAGCGGTCGCAGCAGGCAATTACGTTGGAATGTTTGCTCTCTTTGGACTTTGTCAACAGCTGGAGAGCAGTTGTAAAGTATCAGTGTTCTCGTCCCATCCGTTTGATTCTTCCAAGCTCTCCCGTGTCAGGGGTTGATTGCATAGGGCGTTCCACCCATCATGTAGCATCGGAATAAATATCTTCCATCATTCGTGGGCGGAGCCCCGATCAACCGATAATCATACTTGTACTTCGCATCTTCATTTTCCACTCGTCACTCCGAGTTTGTATAAAGATCTCACTATGGATAGCATTGGTTCTACCTGCACTATCGAAGAATTTGAAAAAGGTGTTGTCTTGAAGAGACGTCTACAGGGCTGCCATCCAGAATACGCCAGCAAGGTAGATCGATGCTTCTCCGTCGAGCCTCTGATCCTTGAGAAGTTAGCCGGCCACCAGCGGATCGTCCCGTAAGTTGATCGCCTACTAAACACTGAATGTGTATTAATACCTTCCTATCTAGCTACATCGGACGCCATCCTGACGGCATTCTACTTGGCGAAGCGAGCCATGGCAATCTTCATTCATACCTACAACATAATAACGCGGTTTCAGTCGCGCAACGGATGCTATGGTGCAGACAGATCGCAGATGCCGTGGCCTACATCCACAGCCGTGGAGTAATACACTCAGATTTAAAACCGCGAAATATCCTTGTCCACGAAAAGTCGACCGGACAGCTCGATCTTCTCCTCTGCGACTTTGGGGGGGCAACGTGCGCCGAGCTTGGCCTGGACGGCGGGTGCTTACCGGATGGCCCTTTTTATAACCCGGCAATCGGTTTGGACCCTGTTCCTAGTCATGATATCTTTGGGCTGGGCTCTATCATGTATACTATTATGACTGGACATATGCCTTACCGGCTCTCGATGGACCCAATGAGCCCTGATGAGAAGTTTGAGTATGAGGAATGCGTCGAATCTATGATCGTACGACAAGAGTTTCCAGATGTTGAGTCTATCCCCGGCGGCAGTGTCATGATGAGCTGTTGGAAGATGGAGTATAGTTCAGCCGATCAAGTTGTTCAAGCGCTAGATGCATGTGAGAGGGGCATATTGGACAGGTGGATGCGTGCGATTGTTCTGCTAGCAGAGCAATGTATGCTGCGCATCGCGAGCGCTTTTTTCTCTCGTAGGGGGTGATAGAAATGGAGTTCTACGATTTTGCAGGCACAGCCGACGTGTTGGTCAACCACGAGGGTAAATTTAGGGAATTCCATAAACTTCTCTACCCGTAAACCCGTGAGTGCAGGGCCATTTTGCAGCTCTAGAGCTATGTGGTGGACAGCCAGTCTAGGGTCGCCGAAATTATCACTTGATATAAAAATCGGATGATACCACCGTACTTGATTATTACTCTTGTTGAGAACAAACATCTAACAATCCAGTGCACATTCTAACGCATTATCTTCCATTAACGTCCTAGGAGAATCCATAACCAGCACCACCCCACAGACGTTCAACAAGCGAATTCTAAAGCATGAGTCTGTCTTGCGCTACTTTGAGCAGGTTGATGATAGACATATACCTGGATGAGCGAGGTCGGTATCGTGTGTGACCGCAGGCGCAATGTACTCTACGTACAATATCTGTCAACTTTTAGTCCTTCTCGAATCGTCGATAGAAGCTTACAGTTGCTGTTTCCTACACCACAAACTCTGCACGTATACTGCCCACACGCATCTCTGACCCTGCTAGATCCTAGCTCGGTCACCTGGACAACATGGTTGGGTTTGTTCGGATCATCGCATCTATCAAACTTGACGGTTTGCCTCAGACCCCGGGTACCGCAGGAGTAGATTTTAATTGAAACGTATTGTCTGCACATCATAAGATGAATGGAGTAAATGAGTTTAATAACCCAATGGTTGTGGGTAGGCGACCAATATCTTTATACGATTACATGTCATATGCGCAGTACCTCGGGACATCAGCCTGAGAATATCGCTGGCGAATTACAACGAAACACGTTAACCTCCTAAGCATGCTACTCACGCAAGGAGCCCAACGCATGACCTGTGGAGCGGATGAGACGGGGGTGGAAAGGCTGAAAGGTCAGGCATCGAACATTTTGCAACAACCGATCTGAGTTCCATGAAGTTCAGCCGCCAAAAGACGAGCGCCATGTCATGATCTCGCAATAATGCAGTGTACTTATAGACGGCTATGTGATAATATGACTTCATCGTTACTACTGATTGACTCGACTTCATACAGTCTTTCCCTTTGCATTACCAAGATTACCTGGCAGGAGGTTGTCGCTTAGAAGGAGGAGGACCTACAACGTCTGGCACATTGGAGACAGTCATAGAGAGGACTGAAGTAACAAGGGACAAGAAAGTAAATTTTGGAGAACGAATTGTAAAAGCAAAGTCATTAAAAATTTAAGAGGCCATCTCACAGTTTGACAAAAGGCAGTCAAAACCAACACATTGTTAACAGAACAGGAGACCGGATGTTCAAGGCGACGGATATGTATGGTGTTAAGACCTAGACATAATTCTCTGCAGTTGAAATATGCGGTACGCTTTCTTCCAGAATACAGCTTGCACGTAGGAGTCTCCTAGAAAAGGAATACAACGGGACGACGGCTGCTGCGTTGCAACGCATGAAAGACCACTTCGGCGTTCTAACAATGCCAGAGGAATGGAGGCATGGTACACAACCGTGACATATCACAAAATTCTAAGTCACCCAAATTCACAGCATTTTCTACATCTCGTCCTAGGTATTTGAACGCCAAACCCCTACCATTGGCAAGAAATATAGAAGTGGTGAATGTATATATGGCATGAAAATCTTATTGCGGTAGCCATAGAATTGATTACTCGTCTTGAAATGCGATACCGTTGAAGCATTGTGTGTAGAAGTAGGATGGATAACGCGAAAGTTTTGTCAACCTGTCGTGACAGAGTGCTTAGTGCGGTGCTTTGAGCTAAAACTGAAAATAGTGATGCGGGACCAACCCATCCGTGGCGGGGTGTCTTATCGGATCCTCTATAATCCGATGAGACCCCGCGACCGTGTCGAATCCAAACGCGCGTCATTTAGGACGTCCTCATCATACTGTTCCCAACATGCACGGTGTATCCCGTTTCGAAGACATGAATGAAATCTACTGTAGAGTTTCGCTCCAATACCAACAGCTCTTGTAGGATGCTTCCCGCGAAGCTAGCAGCACCTCGTCCTGGACACAGTTAAGCACACCCGACTATGCCCAGCTTTTCTCCTGCGACGCAACGGAGAAACAGAGCCAGTTGATCCGACAGTTCATCAGAGACAATGTATGTATATTCTTGCTACAAACGTGTACATACATTAGTTAACACGTACAGACGCCGGGCCTACCGCCTGGTCGTCGACGTCTACAGGGACCATTTCGACTAGACCGCGGCCGAGTTTTTACGAAAGATGGCGAGATGGCGGTTCTTCCGCTTTGTTAAGAAGATGCTAGCCAAAGGGTTCTCGTAGCATCGTCGACGTTGGAAGAACCAGTTCTGATAAATTGGCACGATATGCAGCCGATTATTCTTAGCAAAAAAGGATTTTTAGAGTCAAACAGTGGAGTAATATTCTTAACGATAACATTTATCTCAAGCTAGCACGTTGTAAATACATTAGCTGCAGTTGTGCTTCCCGTGAGTGCTGAGAGATCGACTCCCTCGAATTCCGGGAGATTGAATTCCGTGAATTCCGACAGATCAACCCCGCATTTAACATCTTGGTAACTTCGATCTGAGTCGCCCTGCGTGAGACGACCCAATGTACCGTTGCCCGACGCACCGTTCGTGAGTGATTCACAGCCAAAATCAACGCCTGCCAAAGGTTCGTAGCTACCAAAAGCGCCATTCGACAGGGATCCGTTTCTGTGAAGATCAATTGTTGAGGATCCATTGCTCATAAAATCGTTTCCCAGGGATCTGTGTCTAAAATCGATGTTTGTGAGAGGTCCGTTGCTGTCGAAAGCACCATTCAATAGAGAATCAAAAGCATTGCTGGACGGAGGATTGTTGCTAGCTAGGGCGATGTTCGCCAAAGCGGTTATGCCGTCGCATACTGGTGATCGGCAGCCACGCACCAGGTTCGGGGCGGATTGTTCCGTATGCTTCGGACATGGTGCCAATGGTGTAAATGGTGTTCCGTATTTCCCACTCATGCGCATGAGGGGTTTGAGCCCCAAGTCACTGGCGATGGCTTCAGGCCTGATGATGATTAGCAACTGTTCATCCCCCAATCATGAGGCGGTGTCTCACTGTTCGTTCCAAATCGTGCTGATATACCCGACAGGGTCCAGGGTCGATGTCCCCGCTGGCAACCCGATGATTATAGAACTGAGGGAATGTGCCATGCGCAAAGCGAACGAATCTTGTCGTTCTCGGCCCATGCTATACAACTCGTATAGGCATAGCCTTGTTTCTGTCCGGAGGGTTAGATATTATTGTCTGGGCACGAAGGCGGAGACTTACTCGCAAACACAGCATATACGGACATTGCACAACTGCATCCGTCTGTAGACATGTTAGACACCCGAGCAGCTATGGAATTGATGGTTTGCATAGATGCCATTATGCGATCTTTGGTTTTGTTAGGTTGAATGTTCCCTCTGATGCGTAAGATAGACCGGATGCATAATGAGTAGAAACGGAGCCCCCAGACCTGCATCTTGTTTTGGTTTTCGAGACTTTGAGCATAGTTCCACAAAGTATCCCCAGCCTCTTGTAGTAAATATAGTGCTGAAGACTCTATCTTGTTTTTGCCAAGTGGGGATCCCAACTCATCTAGCTTGGTGCCGTGTTTTGTTTCACGTCGCATCTCTGGTAAAACTTTCTCGAGTTTGAGGAGGACTTTTGTAACGACTGTCTCGTCCAACGGCCGCCGTTTGGTGGGGTGAGAGTCGCCATCGTGAGGGTCGCCATCGTGAGAGTCGCCATCGTGAGAGTCGCCATCGTGAGAGTCGCCATCGTG